GTATTTTACTTTAAACTGCATCAACATTGTTTTATTTTCTTCCTGGTTTAAAATATAAATCCTTTTTTTAGGCTATTTATGCATTTCATTTTTAATGACATAATAATAACATGTAATAAACCCCCTGAAGCACCCGTCCAGTTGTTTTCCAGTAGTTTTTAGTAAACACAGTGGTCCCTTTGGCCACGCCTCCATCCAGCTGTGATGTTTTTCCATAAACGGGGCATAAAAACAACAAGTCTTGAGAGCTTTTTGTTTAGGGAAATGTTGGACTCTCATGGAAATGTTGAGCCTGAAAAGCAGAGGAGCAGAATTTGAATCGTGACTTGAGAGTCAAATCCATCCAAGGTTTGTTTCAGGTGAAGGCGTCGCTGATTTATGTGGAATTTATTCAACTTTTTAAAATCTTTTTCACACTGACTGCAAGAAACCATTAATTACAGCTCCCTGTGAGGTTAACAGGTTTTATTTTGAAGTGGTTTCTTGTACTCATTGAGCTATTTGAACCCAGTTAGAGTTCTCTTTACGGCCAGACCTTCTGTCATATAATGAGACTGATCACCTGGGAATATTCACTCCTGACCAAACCCAAAACATTTCTGCTGTCGGCCCGTATCGGTTATTTATAGTCCATGTCTTGAGACTGAAAAATCCGGTTCTGATAACATTTTAACAAAATAGTTTTTTATTGAGAGGTTTTTAATATAATTCTTTGTCAAAAACCAAACAAATAAAAAACAAATTCCCAAAAATGGTTGTTTAATTAAGTTAATAATTTAATTAACTGAGCTGTTTGTTGTTTTTATTTTCACCCAGGTAGCAGCTCTGAAGGGTCACACCCGTTCAGGAGGTCTTGTGTTCGGACCATCAGTATGTGAATAAAAGGGTCTAAACCAGTGTTTCCCAAAGTTGGTGTCAGGACCCAAAGTGGGGTCCCGAAAKATCAAGGTGGGGTCCTGAAAAGATTTTCTGAATTTATTACATTTTTGCCTTAGTTGTTACAAAGGAGTGAGGTTAGTATATTTAAAATGGATAAATGTCGTATAAAAATAGTTGCTATGCCCATGTTTTGTTGACCTGATACAAATGTTTATCATCCAGAAATAGTTGGGGGCTCAGGTCTCTGCTACTGTTATTTTGTGGGTCAAAAGCTGAAAAGTTTMGGAACCACTGCACTTTGGTTCCCAAAGTTGGGCTTGGGACCCAATTATGGGTCATGAAGCACCTTGGATAATCTCCAGAAATCAATTTAAAGGCTAATAAAATTATTGCTGATGTAATATTTTCCCTATAATTATTACAAAAACACAAAATAAGTATAAAAAAGTTTTAAAATGGGGACCGGAGGGTGTGCTCCAATTACGGGGGGTCACACTCTTAAGCCTCCCTGGTAAGGTCTATTCAGGGGTCCTGGAGAGGAGGGTCCGTCGGATAGTCGAACCTCGGATTCAGGAAGAGCAGTGTGGTTTTGGTCCTGGTCGTGGAACACTGGACCAGCTCTACACCCTCWGCAGGGTTCTGGAGGGTYCATGGGAGTTCACCCAACCGGTCTACATGTGTTTTGTGGACTTGGAGAAGGCGTTCGACCGTGTCCCAAGGGGGGCCTTGTGGGGGGTTCTCCGGGAGTATGGGGTACCGGGCCATTTGATACGGGCTGTCAGGTCCTTGTACGACCGGTGTCAGAGTCTGGTCCACATTGCCGGCAGTAAGTCGGGCTCGTTTCTGGTGAGAGTTGGACTCCGCCAAGGCTGCCCTTTGTCACCGATTCTGTTCATTACTTTCATGGACAGAATTTCTAGGAGCAGCCGAGGTGTTGAGGGGATCCATTTTGGTGGCCTTAGGATCGCATCTCTGCTTTTTGCYGATGATGTGGTCCTGTTGGCTTCATCTGAACGAGATCTGCAGCTCTCACTGGAGCGGTTCGCAGCCGAGTGCGAAGCGGCCGGGATGAGGCTCAGTGCCTCCAAATCCGAGGCCATGGTCTTGAGCTGGAAAAGGGCAGAGTGCCTTCTTCGGGTCAGGGGGGTCGTCCTGCCTCAAGTGGAGGAGTTTAAGTATCTGGGGATCTTGTTCACGAATGGGGGAAGAACGGAGCGGGAGATCGACAGGCGGATTGGCGCAGCGTCTGCTGTAAAGCGGGCGCTGTACCGGTCCGTCGTGGTGAAGAGAGAGCTGAGTCAGAAAGTGAAGCTCTCGATTTACCGGTCGATCTACGTTCCTACCCTCATCTATGGTCATGAGCTTTGGGTCATGACCGAAAGAACGAGGTCCCGGATACAAGCGGCCGAAATGGGTTTCCTCTGCAGGGTGGCTGGGCTCTCCCTTAGAGATAGGGTGAGAAGCTCGGTCATCCYGGAGGGACTCAGAGTAGAGCCGCTGCTCCTCCACGTCCAGAGGAGCCAGTTGAGGTGGCTCGGGCATCTGGTAAGGATGCCTCCTGGACGCCTCCCTGGTGAGGTGTTCRGGGCACGTCCCACCGGGAGGAGGCCCCGAGGAAGACCCAGGACACGCTGGAGGGACTATGTCTCTCGGCTGGCCTGGGAACGCCTTGGAGTTCCCCCGGAGGAGCTGGAAGAAGTGGCTGGGGAGAGGGAGGTCTGGGCCTCCCTTCTGAAGCTGCTGCCCKCGCGACCCGACCCCGGATAGGTGGAAGAAAATGGATGGATGGAGTATAAATCAGTATTTATATTTGTGTACAAGCTGTTTAGATTGTCAAAAGGCCTGTGTTTTTAGGGTTATTAACCAAGTTCGTGTACTCAGACCAGTAATATTTGGGGTCACAAGTTTTTTCCATGGATATTTTGTAGGTCAGAAGACAAAAAGTTTGGGAACCACTGGTCTAAACCACCGTCGGATAAGGTTTTAGTAAATACTAGCCAACACTGAGGTAAATTTTATTGTGTGACTACAGGTCTGAACAGGGCCTTCAGTTAAATTAGGACTAGGGCCACAAACGATTATTTTTATAGTCGACTAATGACTGATTATTTTTTTCGATTAGTCGACTGATCAGATCTACGTTAATAGGAGGGTTTCACGTGACGTCACGATGCAGCCCCACTAGAGCGTGAAGTTCGGATGGAGGTCGTAAGTGAAAAAGTGGAGGATCTGCTATCTGAAAAAATGCCCTTATCTTGTGTAGTTTATGGGTTCTCCAATCATTGTAACTGAATTAATAATAAATAATTATACAATGATTAAATTTATGTAATAAGTTAAAACATGGCTCTTTTTATTAATCGTCATATTTGAAGCGCGTTGCAGCAGGAGGATGTAAAATAAAGCTGATTCATGGGGAAAAACACCTCATTCCACCCTCTGGTGTCACCCCCACCCTTGCCGAACAAACCTAAACCCCCCAAACTCCTTTCTGACTGAAGCCTGAAAATATTAGACAAGCAGCAAAAAATCTACAGGAGGATAAAAATAAAAAGAGGCGAAAGTTGAATAAAGTTCGGCTGCGATGGAGAGAGGGAGATCGGAAGTCAGCAATGAGATATCTGAAATTTATTCAATTTATTATATTAGTTTAACTATATTTCATAGTTAGGGTGAAGTTTAGTTGGTTATTTTAGTGTCTTTGATGCAAAAAAAGGCGATGATCGTGGAGCTCCAGTCAGGTGGACCGAGTCGGACCGAGCCGCAGTTTGAGAGAGGAGCTCAAAGGCAGAGATGGAGAAAAAAACAGTCGGAGACGGAGTGAGGACTTTAACAAGGAAGTAGGTGATTCACTATTTCGATTATAAGAGGGAAGAGAAGAAGATCGAGCACCGAGCGGACTACCGGGGAAGTCTTAGTCCCGTTACCAGACAGTGCGGCGCTAACTGGATGCTAACTACACCGAACAGCTGATGAAAGCCCATAAACAACTGGAGGTGTAGAACTTTTTATTCAGCAGGTGGATCCACAACCTCYYTACCAAACAGCTCCACGATGATTATAGTTTGTTTTTGCCAGCATGAGTGTTTGTTCTGATTTTATGTTAAGATCATGCTAACAGTAGCAGCTAACGTCGTCAAACATCCAGCACCTAACTACACAGAACTAGGGCAGCCTAAAGTCCAGGGGTCAGATTTATAAAAGATTGTGTTGAGATCATACAATCAGTGAACGTACGGCCAAAAGGTTAAAATGGCTTACGCACGGTTTCATATTTATAAAACCATGCGTACGCACGGTTTTATAAATATGAAACCGTGCGTACGCATGTTTCTGCACCTTTTCTTTTTTAAAGATCACAGCTTCACCTCAGAGTTTGAACACGAGGTCCTCCTCAGGTTCTACCCTCTGTACACCCACACTCAACCATAAACAGTCAATGTAAAGTACCTCATGAATGTTAAGATCTATTAAATCAGTCAGCTGATCAGTGATTGGCTCAGACACGCTCCGTCGTACGTCTGGAGGTTGACAGGCAACAGCTGCTCAGGTGAACAGAATTTCTGTAACTGACACAGATTTTCCCTCATTTTGCAGGTTTACAGATGTTTACAGTAATCTAATGATTTTTATCAAAAACTCAGCTTCAAATTAATTTTCTCTCAGAGCCTGCAGGACGATAAAAACAAATAAAATTTAATAAGTCAGAAAGTTAGTTCACCGCTCTTCTCCCCAGTCCTCCCCCTCCCTGCTCTGTTGTCTGCGGCAGACCCCCCCTTCCGCGTGACAAATACAGTTTTTAAAAAGTGAACTTTTATAACATCCACACTGGCGAGGGTNGAACAAACTTTGGGAGGTACGCATTTAGCAATGCAGCCCCTTCCACATGGAATAACTTGCAAAGTGATGTGAAATTAGTTACTCTATAGGTCAGTTCAAATCAACCTTACATGAGCTTTATCTACCATCACTGACCTGTCAATGCTAGCTATATATCTGATGAAATTTAATACAATTTGTGCTATTTTATGTTTTTGTTTTTATTTTGTATATGTTATATTTTTATCTGATAAATTCTCAATGTGACTTAGATATGTTTGTTTGCAGGATGTTTTCTGTTTCTCCTTCACCTTTTCCTTTATAGGTGTCTCTGGTACCCGCCAGGGTGACATTGTAAATAAGAAGTTCTTAATATTTTGCCTGGTTAAATAAAGGTTAAATTAAAAAAAATGTTAGTAAAAATCACCCGATTTTATTTTTGTTAGTGTTTAATTATTTTGTATTCTAATCCAGTAGTTTTTGAGGTTTTCTCCGTTAAAATAAGCATGAATTCTAGTGGTGCTAACACTCAAAATACTAAAACTAAAATTATAGCTTCACTATCTTTAAACATGTAAAAAAAAAAACAATGGAAGCGAACTGCAAAGGCGACAAGTCTTCATCTCCTGCCAGTTAAAATCTGGTGGGACTGACAAATCTGTTGTTAGCTTGTTAGTTAGCTGTTAGCACACAAAAACTAATTTATTGAAAGCTAATTCATCTGATAACTGTTTTCAAAATTATACATTATTATACAAATTATTATATATTATATTCTACAAATTAGACAAAGCTAAACTGCTAAACATGTATTTTTATATTATCTTTTATATTATCTTTCTGACCGCACTCAATTCATCCAGATAAAATCCTTCCACTCTGAGTCATCCCCCGTCTCCACTGGCGTGCCCCAAGGCTCTGTCCTTGGACCCCTTCTCTTCATRACTTACCTCCTTCCTCTTGGCTACATTTTCCGCAAGTTTGGTGTCCGTTTCCATTGTTATGCCGATGACACACAATTTCACTTTTAAATATTTCACAGTAAACGTTGTTTTAATGGAAATGGGGAATTAAAGTGTTGAACCCTCAGTTTATTCCCACCTACTTGTTATTTACTCAGGTGAAGGGTTACAACATTTTTTACACAAATAAAGTTGACACGACTCTGAAGCGGTCACGAGACGCAGAAAAACTCATGCAAAAAAGAGTCAAATCKAGTTTTCCTGCCGAGGCTGGAGCGCCTGCTGCTCCTCGCACGATTCATTTCTGCCGGGAGTCGATCGGATTTATTGGATTTCTGTTTGGGAAACGAAGTTTTAAACTTTTCTTTGTTTATGAATTTGTCGTGTGGACTCCTGCTGTGAGTAACAACAGAAGATTGCTTAAAAGCTTGAATTGGATCAAAACTTTTAACAGATTATTGAAATAAAACATAATTAATACTGAAACCAAAACTTCCTTGTTTATCTAGAATAGTTCATAGATTAATTGAGTTCTGCGCATCAAAATAGAAATGTTATTTTAAAAAATGAGTCGGTTGTAATTAAAATGATGATGTGAATAAAAATAATCTGGCGTTGAAACGGTTAGCGGGATGAGTTTTGTCAGTTCGACAGGTAGTTTATCATCTTTCGTCTTGTTTGTTGTTTCCTGAACTGGTAGCTGCGCCTCCTCGGTCCTCTCAGGTTTCAGTGTCGTCACACAGGTATGTTCTCACCTGCCTGACTCTGGATCCTCCTTGTTCTGAGACCGGCTGTGTTTTCTGCTGATCTCCTGCCTGGTTTGTTTCTGAATAGTTGGAATTAAAGAGGGCGGAAACCAAACCAGAGGCTTTTATTTTGGTAATGAGGTTCAGCTGGTTTGATTTTTTTAACGTTGTTTACTTTGTTTAATTTTGATTAAATAAGGAACCATTTAAAATGAAACTAGTTTGAAAGTTAAACTTCACATTTCTTTTTTTAAACTTTGTTTTTGCTGTTAGTTCAGAGTTAATAAACCTTTAATAAGAAGTGTTTTGTAACGTAAAGACTTAATTTTCTCTGTTTGGACTCTGAAGTAACGATGGTTTTTAGAAACTGGTCTGGGTTCAGGCTTGTTTTCCTCTGCAGCGACTTGCTGTAGCCCGTCTGCAGTTAGGTTTTGTTTAGTCGGTGTTAAATTTGACTGGAAAGGGAACTTTTTACTACGAGTATCAAYGAGGTTTCTTCCCCCTCTTCGGCACTCAGGATTGTCTCGCCCACTCCTCTTCCTCTGTCAGCTTTCATGTTGGGATGTGTTCAGCCACGCAGAACTCATTCATTCACCTCCACATGTTCTGCTTCTGTAACGTTTTACTCAAACATGAAGGCTTGTGAAACACCAAACACTCTTCTTCTGTTGTTTTTACTTAATTATTTAAAATCCTTTGAACCAAGCGTTGAGCAGGAAAAGACTCAAACTCCCAGCAGAGTGTTTATTTTACTGACAGATTATTATTATTATTATTATTATTATTATTATTATTATTATTAATCAACAGTTTATTTAACTGACTTGTTGCTCACCTGTGTGAAGAACACCTGCTCGGTGTTGGGTTGCTGTTTAAAAACTGCTGAGTCAGCAGGGTGTAGTCGTGTTGTTTTATCCGACATGTATTTGTGACTGGATCGTTCAGACTTCACACCACAGCGCTTTGTTTTAAATATAAATGATGTGTTTTATTTATTAATTTTCTGGTGGCCTTTTGATGTGATTTTAAATTAGGGTCAGTTTTCACCGTTCTTTACAAAGACAAGATAAATTCTTATTTTCGACGGCCCGGAGATAAACCAAACCTGTTTGTACATTCTTCAGATTCATCAGACATCCTGTTCTGTGTGTTTCTTATTCTGGTCTGGCTGATCCTCCAGGATATCTTTAGTCGTCTGCAGAGTGAAACACGTTGGACCTGATATTTAAAGTCATCGGCTGGTTCTCGGTGCCCTCCCTTTCCTAACAATCAATGGTTCTCACCTTCTATTCAAATGCATTTTTTTAAAACAGTCCTCTGTTTCTGTTTATTCACTCCATCATTTTAACAAACGTATGTCTACGCTACATTTTACTCCATACAGAAACTTTAAAACACCAACGGTTTGGTATCTATGGTTCAGGTGTGGTTTCTATAGTTCAAACAGGGATCCTATTGTGTGAAAGACAAATATGTTAATGATAGAAATAATTACAAAGCTAAACATGAAAAAGTGTCATTTCTGTGGCCAAATGCAGTTACGGTCCAGGTATGGTTCTATAGTTTAAGCAGGGTCTTATGGTCCAGGTATGGTTCTATAGTTTAAGCAGGGTCTTATGGTCCAGGTATGGTTCTATAGTTTAAGCAGGGTCTTATG